CTAGCAGGACCCTAACACAGTATGAATTGCTGCCTTTTTCCTTTCTTTTTCTTTTTCTGTCTTTCTTTCTTTCTTTTCTTTTTTTTTTTAAGAGATAGGGCCTTGCTATGTTACCCAGGCTGGTCTCTAACTCCTGGACTGAAGCAATCCTGCCTCAGCCTCCCAAGCAGCTGAGATTATAGGCATGAGTCACCGCACCTGGCTCTCTACTATTTTAGACAAAGAAAAATAAATCAGCTAATTCATTCTTTCCATTTCAGTTCATAAAGTTCATCTCTCACCCACTTACATAGATATATATTACATGACAATTATGACCCAATACCAGAAGAGTTAGAAAAAAATTCATATTCTTTTTTCCTCAACCCTTTAAAAAAATTTCATACTCTTTGTCTTCTTTTGTCATAATCAAGTCTCAGCAAAAATTTCATATTCCTATAGGTAATAACAGTCCTTATTCTGAAACTGCTTTTATAATTAAAAGGGCATGTACAGACTCAAGCAGTCTTATCAGTGTCATTTTTATAGTTATCAACATCATCCTCAGAAGGAATCTTTGAGAAACAAGTCACTTCACAGCAACTCTTGGAAAACACGGTCTTTGTCTTATAAACATAGACATTCATTTTTCAAGTGGTACTCCTACATGGTACATATGGTTTTGCTCTAAGAGGGAGTATTGTCAATCTTGCTAACTGAATTTCACATTATGCAAACAGTGGATTGCTGCATGTTAAACCATAAAGCACAAACTTTGTTTCAATGGGGAAGGAGGAGAATCAGTAAAAAAGGGGAAACAGGCTGGGCACAGTGGCTTATGCCTGTAATCCTAATACTTTGTGAGACTAAGGGGAGAGGATCACTTGAGGCCAGGAGTTCAACCAGCCTGGTCAACAAAGTAAGATTCTGTCTCTACAAAAGAAAAAATAATTAGCCAGGCATGGTGGCTCATGCATGTAGTCCCAGGTACACAGGAAGTGAGGAAGAAGATCAATCATTTAAGGAGTTTGAGACTGCCATGATCATCCCACCGTATTCCAGCCTAGGCAACACAGTGAGACCCTGTCTCAAAAAAATAATTCCACAATGCTAACCTTTGTATAACATCATAGATGTTAAAAATAATAAAAAATATAACAATGCATAGCTTCAATGTAGCTCTAGCAATAATAAATTTATTATTTACAAAGAAGAAAATAATTCTGCAGTGGATAAGCTGAAAGACACTACTTTAAATAAGCGACCAAAGTTAATATCACCAGTAACAAGCATAATTGACACCATGTACCTCTTGTTGATACATGGACAAGGGTATACTATCATTTCTATAGTATATTTACAAAACTGCATACTTGAATTTAATGTTTAAGAGTAAACATCAGACAAAGCCAAACTGAGGACATTCTATTTAAAAACTGACCAATATTCTTTAAAATTATCAAGGCTTGGTACAACAGCTCATGCCTATAATTCCAGTATTCTGGGGGGCTGAGGTCGACAGATAATTTGAGGTTAGGAGTTTGAGCCCAGCCTGGCCAATAGGGTGAATCCGTGTCACTACCAAAAAATACAAAAACTAGCTGAGTATAGTGGCGCACACCAGGAGCCCCAGCTACTCAGGAGGCTGAGGCAAGAGAATTGCTTTAACCTAGGAGATGGAGTGAGCTGAGATCATGCCACTGCACTCCAGCCTGAAAGACAGTGAGACCCTGTCTCAAAAAAACAAAAAATGAAGAAAAAAAAAAAAAAAGACCAGCCTGGACAACACAGTGAGACCCCATTTGTATTTAAAAGGAAAAAAAAAAAAGAAAATTAGGCCAGAGTTCAAGAGTAGCCTGGGTAACACAGCAAGACCCCATCTCTACGAAAAATTTAAAAATTAGGCAGGTGTGGTGGCATGCACCTACAGTCCTAGCTACTCCAGGATGAGACGGGAGGATCACTTAAGGCTGAGAGGTCAAGACTGTGGTGAGCTATTGCAGTAAACTGTGTTTGCACCACTGCAGTCCAGCCTGAGTGACAGCAAGAGACTTTTCTGTATTCAGCAGAAAATCTTGCTGTCCTGCTTTCCTTGTTGAAGCTGTGGATAAAATCCTGTGCTTAGAAGAGCAAGGAGTCATTACAATTTAATGGAATGTGTAATCCCGGACTGAATCCTGGGCCAAAAAAAAGAATACTACTGGACAGTTTAAGAATCTGAATAAGGTTTGTAGATTAGTTCACAGAACTGTGGCTTTTTTTTTTTTTTTTACTTTTCGAGGCGCAGTCTTGCTTTGTCACTCAGGCTGGAGCACAGTGGGACTGACTACAACCTCTGCCTCCCAGGTTCAAACCATTCTCCTGCCTCAGCCTCCTTAGTAGCTGGGATTACAAGTGCTTGCAACCAGGCCCAGCTAATTTCTATATTTTTAGCAGACACTTAAGTCTCACCATGTTGGCCAGGCTGGTCTCAAACTTCCTGACCTCAAGTGATCTACCCACCTTGGCCTCCCAAAGTACTGGGATTATAGGCGTAAGCCACTGCACCTAGCCAACGGTTTCAACATTAATTTCCTGATTTTGGTAACTGATATTGTTGAGATGTAAGATGTTAATATTAATTGAGAAAGCTGTGATATACTTAAATTCTGTCTGATTTTTAGAACTCTTTGCTTAAATATGACACCATTTCAAAATGAAAACTAAAAAATAAGAACATCTTTTAAAAAAGATACAGAAAAGCATAATGAAGAGTCAGTTTTTCTTCTCTTATCTTCCTACTACCCAGTTATCCTTCCCAGAGGAATCTACTGTTCCAGTCATAAAAGCCACATACTTTAAAGTAATTCTGAACTATTAAACTTTTAAAGATATATTAAACTCAATGAACTTTTTAAAATTACAAATGCCCCAAACTAGATTTATTAAAATTGATGCTGACCAATTGTTTTCTATCTAGTATAATGTCAAAAAAGATATCAAAAAAGACATCAAAGATATCGAAAAAAGCCTTTGTACTATTTGGCTTTAATTGTTTAAACAAAGTTTTGCTTTTTTTCTTTTTTAACATGGCAAGATTTTATCACGGGGTTTAAACAAAATTTCAAGCAACTATTTTACAGACATAAACCAATGTTTTGTATACTTAAATATATTCATAAATATTAAGTATTTTGTGGTGTCAAATCTGTTTCCTTCCTTTCCAGGATACTGATTTTGCTTGGTCTCCAATTGAGGAAGGACTTGTTTCCAACATTAAGTTTAGAATTGGTTGTTTGGAACTCAAGCTCATTTCCCCACAGAAATCATATAATAAACGGTAGTTCCCTGATTAGCTTAGAAAGGAGCCAATTTAACCTATAATGTACACAAGGGTTATTCCAATATAACACATGTAAATTCAAATCAAGTTCTCAATTTAAAAAAATGTTGCTATAAAGTATCTCCAGTGTCCCAAAACAGGCACATACCTTCTTTCTTTAATTTCCTCCTTTTTCCAACACCTCAACTCATGACTACTCATTTCCACATCCCAGAGAAGGAGTTACACACTTCTAACTTTCCCACTCCCAAATTGTGGCATGGCAGTGTGCTAAGCTGAGAGGCAGAGGTCATGCTGGAATATCATTTCATAACTCTACACTGTAGCCAATGTTGAAGACTGAGGAGTATAGACAGAATGAAGGAGAGAAGGTTCATATGTGACTGTGTATATATATGGTCCCTACAGGACTGTTTACATATGTTCATATACTCCTTCCATATATTCCTCATTCCATCATTATTAGACTTGGACACGTGACTCACTTTAGGCAATGGAATATAAGTAGAAACATAAACTGTATCAAAGATCATTTAGGTGACCTGGCTTGGTCTCTTGTGCACCTGCCCTCAGCCTAAGAGAAAAAAACCACTGAGATTTATGACTTGTTTGTGATAGCAAAGTCTGGTTGATTTAAAAGTTTCTCCTCATCCAATTTCAATTGTAATGTCATCTGTCTGTTAACCACACACCTTATAGCTCATAAACATGTACTAGAATGAGGTTAGAAATGTTGACAAAAGCTAGAAAGAGCATGGGTAGGCAATCCTGCAGTCTAACAAATTCCAGAAAATATTATCTATAGCACCCTCATCTCTTGGATGGATTGCTTTAATAGCCTTCTCATTATTCCCCACTCCTATTCCCCAGTTTGGTCTTTGCATGGTAGTCAGGCTAATTATATTTAAAACAGAAATCAGTTTATGTGTTTATGTTATACCTCTGTCTGATCATGAGGGGTTTTATAGGCCATGGTATGGAACTTTGAGTGTCATAGTGAAAACAAAAACACTCTAGAAGTGTTAAAATTAACACATTAGGGCCAGTTACCAGACTGAAGTAATTTTCCTAAATCTTAGTGAACCTTAGTATTAACTACTGTAGGCCACGTACGGTGGCTCAAGTCTGTAATCCCACCACCCTGAGAGGCCAATGTGGGAGGATCGCTTGAGCCCAGGAGTTGAAGCCTATCATGGGCAACACAGTGAGATTACCTCTCTTTACAGAAAATTTAAAAACAAATTAGCCAGACATGGTGGCATGTGCCTATAGTCCCAGCTACCCAGTAGGCTGAGGTGGGAGGATTGCTCAAGCCTGGGAGGTCCAGGCTGCAGTAAGCTGTGGTTGTGCCACTGCACTCCGGCCTGCGCGACAGAGCAAGACCCTGTCTCGAAAACAAACAAACAAAAAACCTACTTCTTTCACATTACTGTCTATACAAGAATAAAAAAAAGGGAAAACATGTAAATAAAATCATAAGTACAAGTTGGAAGGGAAAAAACTGCTACTAAATTTTCAAATATCTTGATTCACATCTGGAAAATGTAGAGTAAGACTATTAAACAAAGCAATGGAATTTTAAAATTCAGATAAAATACCATACACATTTAAAAATTAGCAGAAAGTTAAAAAATTTTTAAATAGGCAAATATGACATACACACCAAAAAAAAAACTATAAAATCAGTATTCAGACTTACCTTAACAGGAGTTCTTTGGGAAGTTTTTTATTGATTACAGCTTCATCACTATTTGAGAACATCTGCAGAAACAAAATCATTGTGTCAAGTGTTACTTAATATTTTATTACAGAATGTTGAACTCAATAGTTTAAAGGCAATTCTCTCAGGAAAAGAGGTAAAAAATATATATAGAGAGAGGGTATGATAAACCGAAGTTATAATTTTGGAGGAAAAAGATCTTTGAAGCATTTAATTCATTCCCTGTCTTCAAAGAAAGAGAATTAATAGCAGTCAGAAGGATACATTACATGCCAGATACTGTTTCAGGTGTTTTCACATATTAATGGTTTTAATCTTTATAGATAGGAAATTTAGTTACCAAAGTTACTACTCAGAGGCTGGGCGCAGACTCACGCCTTTTAATTCTAGTACTTTCAGAGGCTGAGGCAGCTGGATTGCTTGAGCTCAGGAGTTCAAGAGCAGCCTAGGCAACATGACAAAATTCTTTTTTTTGAGACAGAGTATTGGTCTGCAGCCAAGGTTGGAGTGCAGTAGCATAATCTCAGCTCACTGCAACTTCTGCCTCCCAGGTTCAAGTGATTCTCCTGCCTCAGCCTCCCAAAGTAGCTGGGGTTACCAGCACATGCCACCACGCCCGGCTAATTTTTGCATTTTTAGTAGAGATGGAGTTTCACCATGTTAGCCAGGCTGGTCTTGAACTCCTGACCTTAGGTGATCCACTCGCCTCGGCTTCACAAAGTGTTGGGATTACAGGTGTAAGCCACCACACTCTGCCAACTTCGCAAAACTCTGTTCTCTGCCCAAAAAACACAAAAAATTTACCAGGTGTGGTGGTGTGCATCTGTCATCCCAACTACACAGGAGGCTGAAGTGAGAGGACTGATCACCTGAGTTAGGGAAGTGAAGGTTGCGGTGAGCTGAGATCATACCACTGCACTCCAGCCTCAATGACAGAGTGAGACCCTGTCTCAAAAAAGAAAAAAAAAAAAGGCTTGGTGTGGTAGTGCACACCTGTAATTCCAGCACTTTGGGAGTCTGAGGTGAGCAGATCACAAAGTCAAAAGATGGAGACCATCCTGGCTAACACGGTGAAACCCCGTCCCTAGTAAAAATACAAAAATTAGCTGGGCATGGTGGTGTGCACCTGTAGTCACAGCTACTTGGGAGGCCGAGGCAGGAGAATCGCTTGAACTCGGGAGGCAGAAGTTGCAGTGAGCTAAGATCTTGCCACTACACTCTAACCTGGCAACAACAGAGCATGACTCTGTCTCAAAAACAAAAACGGTTTACTGTTCAGCTCACATCACTATGGATGTGACTATTTTAATATGCCATTAAGATAAGGTGATTCCCCAAACTTGGCTCACATTTACTTGTTCAAGGAGATGTTCAGAAACTTGGAATAGAAAATATTCTGTCTGGGCCAGGTGCAGTGGCTCACACTTGTAATCCCAGAGTTTTGGGAGGCTGAGGCAGGTGGATAACCTGAGGTCAGGAGTTTGAGACCAGCCTGGCCAACATGGCGAAATGCCGTCTCTACTAAAAATGCAAAAAAAATAGCTGGAGGTGCTCACCTCAGCAGCACATATGCAAAAATTGAAACGATACAGAGAAAATTAGCATGGCCCCTGCGCAAGGATGACATGCAAATTTGTGAAGCATTCCATATTTTTCAGAACAGAGGCCTTGGAAGTAACACCACACATCTACAACCATCTGATCTTTGACAAACCTGACAAAAACAGGCAATGGGGAAAGGATTCCCTGTTTAATAAGTGGTGATGGGAAAACTGGCTAGTCATGTACAGAAAGCTGAAACTGGACTCCTTTATTACACCTTACACTAAAATTAATTCCAGATGGATTAAAGATTTAAACATAAGATCTAACATCATAAAAACCCTAGAAGAAAACCTAGGCAAAACCATTCAGGTCATAGGCATAGGCAAGGACTTCATGACTAAAACACCAAAAGCAATGGCAACAAAAGCCAAAATAGACAAATGGGATCTAATTAAACTTAAGAGTTTCTTCACAGCAAAAAAAACAATAATCAGAACCAGCAACCAACAGAATGGGAAAAAATTTTTGCAATCTACCCATCTGACAAAGAGCTAATATCCAGAATCTACAAAGAACTAAAGCAGATTTACAAGAAAAAAACAAGCAAACCCATTTGAAAGTGTGCGAAAGATATGAACAGACATTTTTCAAAACAAGACATTCTTGAGGCCAACAAACATATGAAAAAATGCTCATCATCACTGGTCACTAGAGAAATGCAAATCAAAACCACATTGAGATACCATATCATGCCACTTGGAATGGTGATTATTAAAAAATCTAGAGACAACAGATACTGGAGAGGACATAGAGAAATAGGAAAAGTTTTACACTGTTTGTGGGAGAGTAAACTTCAACCATTGTGGAAGACAGTGTGGCAATTCCTCAAGGATCTAGAAATAGAAATTCCATTTGACCCAGCAATCCCATTACTGGGTATATACCCAAAGGATTATAAATCATTCTATTATAAAGACACATACACACATATGTTCATTG